TAGAATTGTTAAAATAAAAAAAAAACATTAACAATATTTATAGTTGCAATAAGATATATGTTATTCTAGAATTGTTAAAAAAAAAAACATTAACAATATTTATAGTTGCAATAAGATATATGTTATTCTAGAATTGTTAAAATAAAAAAAAAACATTAACAATATTTATAGTTGCAATAAGATATATGTTATTCTAGAATTGTTAAAAAAAAAAAAACATTAACAATATTTATAGTTGCAATAAGATATATGTTATTCTAGAATTGTTAAAAAAAAAAAAACATTAACAATATTTATAGTTGCAATAAGATATATGTTATTCTAGAATTGTTAAAAAAAAAAAACATTAACAATATTTATAGTTGCAATAAGATATATGTTATTCTAGAATTGTTAAAATAAAAAAAAAACATTAACAATATTTATAGTTGCAATAAGATATATGTTATTCTAGAATTGTTAAAATAAAAAAAAACATTCACAATATTTATAGTTGTAATAAGTTATATGTTATTTTAGAAGAGATAAAATTAACAGAAACATTAACTATACAACGGATGGCTTAGTGAACGATTTTGTGCGTTTGCGGACGACTACGGACCTTTTATTACGACATTACTATGGAGGACTTTCCTTTCCTCTTTTCTTTACTGATCCAAGAGCATTCAGTTTCCTCATACATTGACGGTTCTTCGGAATCATCGTATTCATACGGACACATTTGATTACGTTTTGAGTTTGAGTTTGAGTTTGAGTTACGCTTACGTACAATTCAATTATTTTTCCGTAAAATCTGTACATCGGTCGATCAAGATATCAAGCAATGAATAAATACAATAAATAAATACAATTAAATGTGATTATTGATTTGTTATCGATTACAGCACTGACAGCCAAATATACACCAGAGTTTTGCCGGTTTTCTATCTAATTAGTTAAATCGGGTATATTTGTCACTTTTCAGAATGAAAATGAAACGTCTAGTTTGCCCGCAATTGCAGAAAGTGTAAATTACCAGGGCGTAACCAGAGTGAAGATAGATTGCAGAAAATGAGCCCTTCAGTTATAATATAGAGAAATTCGTCGCATAGGCATATCCCTATTAGGTTTGCAAATGTCGTGAGATTTGCCTTTTGGAGTGTATCAAATTGTTTAAATAATTTCTATCCTACTATAAATAAGAAGGAGTTGTAAATAATGTTCACGAAGTAGGTTGTATTTATATCATTAACCAGTCTCAATCAAAACATGCCGGATCTGTTGCATCAGTCATGTTGATTTCTGAAGGAAAAAAAACATAATCAATACAATAAAGATGCTGGCTTCAGGGATTGGGGAAGGTGGGCGACTTTTTGGTCGGAATGTGTCAATGGAAGTTCCTAGTCAATGTACAGGCCCTTGAAAGTTCTGTCAATATTAATAAAATATGGGCAAGGGCCTGTGGTATAGGTATCTATTTTTTTGGTGATGACATCGTCTGTTTTGTGCATTCGATCCCTTTACTTTTATAGGCATCCATTTGTTTACCATACGCAATACTGAGAACCAACTAGAGTTGACAGTGGTATTACAAAATACTGTTTTCATATTTTGTAGAAACTTCTCGTGTACCTCCTGTGGCACATAACTGTTGTATGCCTACCCGAGGTAGGCATCAGAAAACTCGAAACACCAACATAGGTTGTGTGAATTGATTACAGATATATATACAGTATATTTAGTTCAACCTACCGTAAGTCTCATCATATTCAAATGATAAATCATGTAACGGACGACATTCACCACATTCACCAGAACAACTTACATTCACTATACGATGATCACTTGATTTATTCACATACAGTATTACTGAATTGGGTTGATTATTTGAAAAATCATCCCATTCAGCCTGTAATATATAATTAGATCGGTATAATTGGTAAGCTCCCACCTATTACTAGTCTTACTGAGCTGAATTATGGACGTGTTTCTGAATGCAATGAGATCAGTGGTTCCACGAGTAGCTACACCTCATGGAGGAAGGCCACCGTTAACAATAACCTAAGATTATTTACCACTTTATTAAGAATTCAAGTCTTTGTTGAAGTTTGCCCCAATAAAAATGATTTTTTCATTAGCAATTCATTCATTGTAGGTTTCTCGGAATTACACCACGAGTTAAAGTAATTTCGACAACTTTTTTATAGGGCTTGAGTAAAAAATCAAACACTTAAAATGACGGAGTACCAATAATTCTCCCTTTTGAATATTTACTTTACCAACTGGTGGAGCTCAATTCCAGCTATCCGTAAGTCAGAATTATATTCCATCGTCTGATTTTGTCAGATCAATAATTTTAGTTAGTTAGTGGCTCTCGTGAATTCTGCGAGAACTAGATGAAGAATTTTAATTCCGAAAAAAAATAGATTTAACAGCTGTACAAGATATTTATACGTCAAATGCTCACAAAAATATACTTACCGTTTTATTTAGTAAGAGACCTGTACCGATAGTATTAATCAATAAGTAACTACTAGTATAGGGATAATAAGAAAGGGAACAGGACCTGTACACAGTACCGTATGGCGGATAATGATTTATACTTGGATTAGAAAATGCCATATCATTTGGATCGATAATCATCGTCTGAAACAAAACAATAATTTCATCTGATAAATGCTGGGTCCTTTGATTGTGTATTATGTATTTTTATAATTATAGCATGTGGACACGAAGTTTAACGTTTGGGTTTATAAATGATGGCTTAATGCATGTAGAACAATACACAACAAAATAACCTACCTGAAGATCTACGCCTAATTTTGCATAATTTATAGTTGAATGTTGATGTAATAACCTGTATGAATGTATTGCATTTGTCTCATTGTTCAGTGTGACATAACTTTTTGGTGAATCATTGGAACTGCTCAGCATATTCATACAATATATCTTAACGCGCTTATCACCAAACTTTTCTGGATAAAGCCAATATTCTCCATCTACCACCGACGGCTGACAATGTCTTAATTCTGTGCAATTACGAACATCTACAATATTATCATATTACATGGATATAGTATTTAGTAGCTAAAAAGCTGTATGTTGGGCCATACTTTAAATTGAGGTCTATCCACTAAGAAAACAATTATTTTTACGATTATAACAAGTGGTGTATATAGGGAGCATGGTGCCATGGCCCTCGGGACAAATTTATTCTACTTTCACTGCAAAAATCGCGTTAGATGTATTCTCCGCTTTCCTACATTAGATAATTTTTCCAGGGACCAGTTTCAGTTCAGACATGAAAACGGTAAGTTAAGGATGGCCCCGTCACCATGAAGTGTGCTACAATTGAAATGTTGCCCGGATTGTGGCGTTAGCGTATTCTTTTTTTTCAATGATAAAGCACTGTCTCTAAAACCCCTGGTTATTGCCCCACCTGATCAAAATTACCACGTCAAAAGATATAAATCATCAAATTATCTTTTCTTAAAATACTTACGTCGTTTACATTTGAATTCGGACCATGAACCATTTGCACTGCACGTGCTGAAATTCTTGTTGTTTAAAGGTTCATAAAAGCCATCACATTTATAGAATGCTGCACTGCCATTAACTAGACTCTCTGTACCTATGAATGTGGCCTTATTCACTGCGGGTGGTACAGGACATGCTGAAGGAGAACAAGATCTTTAGTTAATGTTCACAGTGTCTATTTGCCACTCGTGGTAAATATCTCTTGCCGTTAATTTTTTCGAGAAAGAAATGGAGCTAATATCACAAAATTCCACATTATTGAACGAGGGGAGGGGCGTTTTATCGGGGTTGATATTCCAAAAATAGATAGATTGTCAGGCAAGATAAAATATGCCAATTGACAGCCTTGGCTGATTGGTAACCATCTCTAATTTGAGATATTAGTCATACACTTCTTTCAAACTTTTTACTGTTAAATAAAAATTTGATCCAAATCTTCAAAGTTTCCTTTATTGTGGCAAGAGTGTTTACACGCTAAATATGAAAAACAATTTGAAGATCAAGGACAATAAAGCATATCAAATATTTTTTGATTTTTTTAAAATAGGGGTCATCCTTGGGTGATTAGAAATCAGGTTTCATCAAAATCCGTCAAGAATTATTTCCTTTTGAGTGTTTAAGAGCAATCATTGACGGACGGACATGGGTGACTCCAATATACACCCCCATTTAACCAATATACGTCCCATATTAAATGTGGACGTATAAAACGGGCTATCTTACCGAAATGTATACATTGATATTGACTACTGCCTATGCCAGGTGATGAATCTGAATTAAATTCTACACATAATTTAGTACTCTGACAATTATGGTTTTCACACTTTCTTGCCAAATGCTGAAAAAGATGGAAATTCATTATATACATGTACTAGATACGTGTTTTAAGAAGTATAAAAACCTTTTAAGCACACTTTAAAATTGAAATTTATTATTTTATTTTTCTGAATATAATTTGCACAACTCGAAATTTCGGATCACAAAAGTCGAAATTTCGAAATCTCCAAATCGACATTTCGGAATTTCATTCGAAATGTAAATGTAAACCCTATCCGCAGCCAGATTATCCCTATTATTGGGTTATAAAACATGTACTCTCGAGATCTAGAGAAATCAAAATTCTTAAAATGGTGAAATATTTGTGATAAGGATGATAAATGAAATATTCGTGAAAAATACGATGGTGAAATATTTGTGATAAATATGATAAGTGAAATATTTGTGATAGATATGGTGGTGAAATTGTGATAAATATGATGGTGAAATATTTGTGATAAATATGATGGTGAAATATTTGTGATAACTATAATGTTGAAATATTTATGATAGCTACGATAGTGAAATATTTGTGATAAATATGATAAGTGAAATGCTTGTGATTACTATAATGGGTGAAATATTTGTGATTACACGATGGTGGAATATTTCTGATAAATATGACAAGTTAAATATTTGCGATGAATATGATAAGTGAAATATTTGTGATAACTATGATGGTGGAATATGTGAAAACTACGACGGTGAAGTATAAGTGATAAATACGATAGTGAAATATTTGTGATAATTATTAAAGTGAAATATTAGTGATAACTATTATGGAGAAATATCTGTGATAACTATTATAGTGAAATATTTGTGATAACTATTACAATGAAATATCTGTAATAACTATTATAGTGAAATATTTGTGATAACTATTACAGTGAAATATCTGTGATAACTATTATAGTGAAATATTTGTGATAACTATTATAATGAAATATTTGTGATAACTATTATAGTGAAATATTTGTGATAACTATTACAGTGAAATATCTGTGATAACTATTATAGTGAAATATTTGTGAAGACTATTATAGTGAAATATTTGTGATAACTATTAAAGTGAAATATTTGTGATTTATTTTTGATAACTATTATAGTGAAATAATTGTGATAACTATTATAGTGAAATATTTGTGATAACTATTATGGTGAAATATTTGTGATAACTATTATAGTAAAATATTTAAGATAACTATTATGGTGAAATATTTGTGATAACTATTACAGTGAAATATTTGTGATAACTATTATGGTGAAATATTTGTGATAACTATTATAGTAAAATATTTAAGATAACTATTATGATGAAATATTTGTGATAACTATTACAGTGAAATATCTGTAATAACTATTATAGTGAAATATTTGTGATAACTATTACAGTGAAATATCTGTAATAACTATTATAGTGAAATATTTGTGATAACTATTATGGTGAAATATTTGTGATAACTATTATAGTAAAATATTTAAGATAACTATTATGGTGAAATATTTGTGATAACTATTACAGTGAAATATTAGAGATAAATATGATGTTAAAACATTTGTATTATTACATTGTGATACAGGGAAGTACTTTTTTCTAACAAGGAGAAATATTTCTGATAACCTTTTAGTAAGAAACATGTAAAATATAAGGTGAAATATTTGTGACAAATATGATAATGAAATATTTGAGATAACTAAAACGGTGAAATATTTGTGATCAATATGATAATGAAATATTTGTGATCAATATGACAATGAAATATTTGTGATCTATATGATAATGAACTATTTGTGATAAATATGATAATGAAATATTTGTGATCTATATGATAATGAAATATTTGTGATCAATATGATGATGAAATATTTGTGATCAACATGATAATGAATTATTTGTGATCTATATGATAATGATAGACATGGTTTGGAAATATTGGAAATAATATAATTATAAAATATCTGTGATAAACATGGTCAAATTTGAAAGAAAGATTGAGAAATATTATAATTGAGAAATTTTTGTGATAAATATAATGAAATGATTATAATTGAGAAATGTTTGTGATATATATAATGAAATGATTATAATTGAGAAATGTTTGTGATAAATATAACGAAATGATTATAATTGAGAAATGTTTGTGATAAATATAATGAAATGATTATAATTGAGAAATTTTTGTGATAAATATAATGAAATGATTATAATTGAGAAATTTTTGTCATAAATATAACGAAATGACTATATTGGAGAAATGTTTGTGATATATAAAATGAAATGATTGTAATTGAGAAATGTTTGTGATAAATATAATGAAATGATTATAATTGAGAAATGTTTGTGATAAATATAAGGAATTGATTATAGTTGAGAAATGTTTGTGATAAATATAACGAAATGATTATAATTAAGAAATGTTTGTGATGAATATAATGAAATGATTATAATTGAGAAATGTTTGTGATAAATAAAATGAAATGATTATAATTGAGAAATGTTTGTGATAAATAAAATAAATAAAATGAAATGATTATAATTGAGAAATGTTTGTGATAAATATAATGAAATGATTATAATTGAGAAATGTTTGTGGTAAATAAAATGAAATGATTATAATTGAGAAATGTTTGTGATAAATAAAATGAAATGATTATAAATGAGAAATGTTTGTGAAAAATAAAATGAAATGATTATGATTGAGAAATGTTTGTCATAAATATAACGAAATGATTATAATTGAGAAATGTTTGTCATAAATATAATGAAATGATTATAATTAAGAAATGTTTGTGATAAATATAACGAAATGATCATAATTGAGAAATGTTTGTGATAAATATAACGAAATGATTATAATTAAGAAATGTTTGTGATGAATATAATGAAATGATTATATTTAAGAAATTTTCGTCATAAATCTAACGAAATGATTATAATTGAGAAATGTTTGTCATAGATAAAGTGAAATTATTATAATTGAGAAATGTTTGTGATAAATATAATGAAATGATTATAATTAAGAAATGTTTGTCATAAATAAAATGAAATGATTACAATTAAGAAATGTTTGTCATAAATAAAATGAAATGATTATAATTAAGAAATGTTTGTCATATATATAATGAAATGATTATAATTAAGACATGTTTGTCATAAATAAAATGAAATTATTATAATTGAGAAATGTTTGTTATAAATAAAATGAAATGATTATAATTAAGAAATGTTTTTGATGAATATAATGAAATGATTATAATTGAGAAATGTTTGTCATAAATATAATGAAATGATTACAATTGAGAAATGTTTGTCATAAATATAATGAAATGATTATAATTGAGAAATGTTTGTGATAAATATAACGAAATGATTATAATTAAGAAATGTTTTG